CGTTGATTGTGACACTCTGAAACCGAAATTGACAGGTTTTATGAGTCAAACATATTATAAGTACAACACATCATTATATCATCTAATGATTGCATAGTTCCGAAAAACATTTTTTATAGCTAGTGAGTGGAAGCAATCCTGATTGGAATGGTATTATGGGAACATTTTTTTTTTTGGTATTATGTTTTGGTATTTTACATCTTATGTAATACTCAACCATACCAATTTAAGGTATTGAGATATTCGTTCCTGCTCGGGTATCCGTCAGTTATAATAATAACTAAATTATTAGTTCGTTATTCGTAGAGCATTGTTGAGCTATTATTTTTGGTCTTTTACTTCTTATATGTCAGGCTCGTCAATACCATATTTAGGAAGCCAATTATCCTATTTTCATACCTGAATTTGGTATTAATAAGTTATTTTCACCTGGTCGGGATGAGAATTCTGAAAAACGTTTCAAAGAATTCCTGAGCAAAAATCAAAAATAACACTAGTTTACAAAACAACATAAAAAGTGTGAACTTTAGTGGTTGACCAACGTTTCTAATGCAAAATCCTACGCTGAATTCAATGCCGTGGTCAGAAAAAAATAATGTTGAGCCATTTTTGAGATATACAAAAATTTGATTTTTTGAATTTTGGACAAAAGTACGATTACTAAAATGTCAATATCTTTGGGACTAGTGCACCAATTTTAAATCTTTTTTTATGAAAGTGAAGCTATATTATATTATGAATATTATGTCTTAATAAAAAATTTAATTTTGAAGTCATTTAAAAATTTACAGCATTTTTTTTTTAATTTTTCCTGCGAATTTTCCATAAAAAATCTTGTTTTAATCAACATTTTTAATGATAAAAAGATTCAAAAAATCATTCCATAATTTATTCTTAAAGTCCATTAAAAACTGGAGAAAATGAGCCTTTAATTGATGGAATCGGTTGGAAATTGTCGAAGTTATGAGCATTTTTGTAAAACACTCAAAAATGTTGCTGAAATACAACAGCTTTAGAGTTCCTTTTCTAGGTGTCGTTGTAAGCATCCAAATCGCATGTAAAGTTTTCATGGGAGATTCTTTTCTCTACATTTCAATTTGATTAAGGCATATCAGGATTTAAAACCGAGTTGATACAAAAGAAATCTATTTAGGTTTTATTAAAAATGATTGAGAATCGAATGACTTTGCCTTCGATGTTTTGAACTTGTTTCTCGAATCAGAAACCAACAATAGTCACCCATCATTGCTTCATCCCAAAACCCTTGGTAACGACGTTCCATCATCTTCATTTGTTGGTGAAAACGTTCGCCGTGCTCATCACTCTCGTCACCAAGATTTTCCGGGAAAAAATCCATGTGAGAATGTAGGAAATGTATCTTCAAAGACATATTTCTCCGGTTTTGAATGGAATTTAAGAATACATTATGGAATGATTTTTTGAATCTTTTTATCCCATTAAAAATGTTGATTAAAACAAGATTTTTATGGAAAATTCGCAGGAAAAATAAAAAGAAAATGCTGTAAATTTTTAAATGACTTCAAAATTAAATTTTTAACTAAGACATAATATTCTAGTGAACGATAGCAAATTTATTTAACTTCATTTCCATAAAAAAAAAATTAAAATTTGTGAACTAGTTCCAAAGATATTGACATTTTAGTAATCGTACTTTTGTCCAAAATTCAAAAAATCAAAATTTTTGCATATCTCAAAAATGGCTCTACTTTAATTTTTTCTGACCACGGCATTGAATTCAGCGTAGGATTTTGCATTGGAAATGATCATCACCTTACCGAGTTCAAAAATGCTGTAAACTAGTGTAATTTAAGGAGTAGTTCATTTGAAGTTGTTTTCGATTAAATCAGCATTAAGAGCACTGTCCAATTCTAACCTCCATTTTCTCATTCTTCACTCATTTCGCGAATTTAATGGAAAAGTTGATTTTAGATTCAGATCACAAATAGGTGACTTTGTATAACGAAATTTGAGGCACATAGAAAAATGATCGTGTTTAGAAAATTTTTGACAATTTGAAGACAAACAATTTTAAAGACCTCGGATACATAATCTTCTGTCAAACCTAAAAAAAAACATAACTATGGGACCTAGAGAACATTTTTAGATCGCAGTATCATTGCAAATCTCCTTATTCTGGAAAAAGGAATAATTTTCAAACTGCTAAGATCACGAACATTCCAAATTGTGTGTGCATCTAGGGCTTAAAACCAAAAAAAAAATCTAGGATGGAACATTTTTTTTTTAAATCCAGGGACTTATAAATTCATGATTCCTAAAACAAACAATTTAAGAAAATGCTGAGGCTTGGAATAATTGTCGATATTTTGAACATATAGAATATACCTACGATCCTAGAAAAATTTAAATGCTCCTGCAGAATATTTTTTTTTCGTGATCTACATTTTAAACGCACTCAAAACCCAGAGTTTGCATTATAGATAAACAAGATTCAGTGGATTTTTTTCTATATTTGTACAAAAGCTTACAAAATTCTGGTCTTTGCAAAAATGTCATCGACATCGGGCTTGGAAAATTTCCATGATCACGAAGCCAGGATATTGAGACCAGAATTTATTGACGAAACCTCAGAAAATTCGTGATTAGTCTATGATTAATCAGAAATGACGTATACAGTGTATCGCAAAATAGAGCATACCAGGGTGTAACATTTTTTGAAACATTCTGAATAGATTTTTTTTTAAATCTTGGCTACTGGTTAAACAGATGTTTATTGATTTATCGTTTTAGTTTTGGAGTTTATTGGAATAACCTGTAAGAAGTAAGATTTATTTTTAGTAAAACGAACAATTTTAAACTTTTTACCTAATGCATGAATTTTAGTAAAATTAGTAGAGTATGAATAATCTTTATTATGACTTAAAACGAGCAAAATTAAAAAAAAAAATAGTTCAAGATATTAAGGTTTTTCAAGGAAAAGACGTTTTTCGCAAATAGCTCTTACTTTCAATAAACGCAACCAAATAAGCCTAACGCTGTACCAATAATTGATAAATTTATGATGAATCAGCAACCAGAAATATATAAATGTTTCTCATTAAATTGTGCTTTTAAAGCTATTTTTTGTCTAAAATTTAAGGACATCTGTACGCTCAATTTTGAGATACACTGTAGGTGGGCTGCAGCCCAACTAAAACGTAGTCAACTTAAAAATAGCTAAACGAGCGAAATTCGACTGTACCTGTGTCTGAGCCGAAACTCATGAAGACAGTTTTTGTTTTATCCTGTGTTTGGTTTTCGACGTATGACTACTTCTGTGTTTTCTATATGAGCGTGGATTAATGCCAGTTTAATATTTCAAATTAAAGCTTTGTAGGGTTAACTACCCCATTTCCGGCCTATTAAGCACAATCGTTGAGATATTGTCAAAGTCTAACACTACTTCTTGACGCCAAACTCGGCCTACGGATTGAAACGCCATTGAAACGGAATAATGGGTCCAAACCTTCATATCACGCGTTCTCATTGACTTCGTTCCGTAGCTTTTGAACTAAAGTATCGTACCAATCGCATAATTGACTTGTTAACTCTGAAATCATGGATTTATTTGAAGTTTTCTGCTCGATAGGCCCAACATGGTCGATTAGGCCGAAGAAGTTCTCTGCCCTATTGAAATTTAAAATTTTCAAACTGGTAATAATTCAAACAACATCACCTCATTAACGTACGGGCAATGGATATTAAATATTTGAACTACAACAATGTTCGGTTCAAAATCTCTCTAACTACGCTTATGAAATTGAACTTTTTTTTTTAATAATTCATCTGAACATACCAAATCGATAAGACAAGAAACTCCGAAATTATTTCAGTTGTGAATCTGACTCCCATGCACCGCCAGTGTTGGCATAAAAAGTGATTTTTGGCATTTAATTCAAACCATACATATTTGAACAGTGTTAATATTTTTTGGAGACATTCTACCACTGAACATCTTTTGGCAACATTGTTGGGCACTTCCTGGATTATATTTGTACATGGTTAGTTACATAATTCAAGCAAAATTGTGGTCTCTAGGGATAAAAACTGCAAAAAATTAGGTTTTCCCGTACTAATTTCCATACAAATTTAGAACGCAATGCGAAAAGCCATCCGGAAAGCAATCAACCAAAAATGTTGCGCAGTTGTTTCGGACCTCAAATGGAACCCAAAAAGGGTTGTTCTCGCTTGGTGAGGTAAAGTTTGCGTTTTTTTTTTTCATATAACGGTGACCCACTCTAATATGTATATCAAATTGCAGTATACCACCAATGATTTAACTCTCCTACAAAACAGGAGAAAATTTCCCCTAATTATTCCGTTAGTTCCCAGCAGTCAACACGTTGCACAGGTGCTAATAGAAAGCAGTTCTTCCAATGGCACTGGTCTGCCTCATCCAAGATCAAAATGACCTCATATCTCATCGCCCCTTACCGGTGACCGTGAACGTGTCAATGATCTTCGCCGAAAAGTATTATTAATGATCTTCTCGCAAGTACTGAGCCAAACACTTGTCCGCGTGCGGAACACTTCAACAAAATATTTCAACATCATCATAATACAAGCTACTTCAGATCGACGAGCGACTCGAACCGTCAACGGTTGACGTTAGGCTAAATTCGCAAAATCACCTCGCCAAGAAACATCATCATCGACGTCAGTCCGGTGCGATGATGCTAGGTCATTGATAGTCCCAGGTTGTAAAAGATATCAAACATAAAACACTACTCCTTAATTAATTGACGATCATACGACAGACGACTATCGGATATTTAACTATTGGAATAAATTATCACTACTCGCACTCTGCGGTAACTAGTCCCTCAAGGTTAGCAAGACTGGGGCGATTGAGGGAGGCGGTGGTGAACTACCATTAAGCCATAATTTGTGGCGTTTGGAGTCTTTGCAAATTCATAAACTCTGCCGATCAATTACAACTACGCATTTGCACTTGGACTTGGACAGACGAAAGTGGAACTCACCTGAGCAACTTCTCGATCAGCAGTCGACCGATGAAGCCGGTTCCTCCGGTGACCAGGACATTCTTGCCGCGGTAGAACTCCATCACCGGTGTGGTGGTGATCTTCTTTTCCTCCGTCAGGGAGAGGTCATTGTTAAGGGCCACATCCGTGCTCATTTTGGACAACTGTTACTGTTCCGTTCGACGGTGCCCCTTCAAGGTGTAGGTCACAGGATTTTTGATTTTTTGGAAGGGGGATGGGGGCCTATCAAAGTCTCACTTTACCTTCCGGCTTATCTGTACCGAAGAGAAGGGTTCGTTCGTTGTAATGTATTGAAATTGTTTGTTTGGTATGATCAAGGGGTTTGATTGGGAATGAGTGGTACGGGATGGCTTAAGTGATAACCGAGCGAGGGGAGTTCGGGGTGGGTGCTATTGTCCAGAGGTAATTGGGTTCGAAACTTGAACCAAATAATTTTGGATCGCTTATTGCGTTATGCGACCGTCTGCGTTGATGGTCGTTTCCTTGCACAGTTAAAAGCACCAATTCTGTATATGGCACCCAACGTAACTAGCGAAATGCGGGCGCGCGCGCTCGCACGACGGAATCGTAAATCTAACGGCTGCGGACGGCAGAGCGGTGTGGTACTGAAGAAGAAATGCAAGTCGACGACGACGACGACGGACGGTCAGACGAAAAATACGTTGATGATATGGGTAAATAGAGTCGCCTAATGTTGCCTCACTCTCATAGTCCGGTGTCGGGTGTGTTGTTACCACTCTTTCCCTGAAGAGCGTGCGATTTGTTTATTTAAATCAAACACTTTCAATAATTAAAACTATCCGCTTTCGCCTTCGAGGCATATGTCACTTGAACACCCAACGTCGGAGCCGAACGGAAATGGACGGAATGGCTAGCTAAATAAGGAAAATCGCTACGTTTTTCAAACACACAGTTTCACTCTCTTGTTGAATGTCACTTAGGCAAATATTATTCAATCACAATCCCAATCTTCAAGATACCCACTTTTTTCTCGAAATTATTCAGCCAAATTCACCGACTTCCAAACACTTGATCCTCCAGTTTAGTTAGTTCAGTTTAAAAACTCGTTCACCCCAACTATTCCGCAAAGTTTACAACAACTAATATTTTATGAGCAGGACCGTATTCCGATGTGCGTGTGTACTGTTCGAGCTGATTGACGCAACTAAGCAACGCGAGTAATTCTATTTTCATTGTCAAGCACTTGCTTGGGTACGCGCACTCACAGCGAGTAGCTCACCCGTCGTCGGGTCGGGTACAAGCAAGCAGTGGTATAGGTACTCACCACCCGCCGCGCGATACTGAAACCTATTACTGACCAATATTATTACTGTTCACTTACTTGCATCTGATTGGAGCAGCCAGAGCCTGGAAGTCAGTCAGTGCTCAGCGATGCAACAAAATCACGAAAAAAATTGGGACCCCCTTGTTTATTTGGATACCGTAAGGCAGGGTTTTTCAATCTGTAGGAGGCAACCCACTGCTCAGTGGGTAAATGCGGACTTGTATTCGTACCTAATTAGATGGCGGTAGTTTGATGGCCTACAAGTGGCAACACTAGCTCGAATGACACTTGCCCGGAAATATTAATTTTGGGAGTTTTTCTTCTTCTTTAAAACACGAGCACTACTTTCGGGTTGTACTGAGCTGCGAATTAAGTTTTAATTTGAGATTTAAAAATGGACTTTGGAAAATTTGTGGGTACCGTATAACAGGGCGCAGTAGATCACTACACTGTTTTGAATTTTCGTTTCTCAACAATCCTTTTTCATGATATTGTTATAAGATAAATTGTGTAGTATTTCATTAATTAGATTAAAATAGTAGATTTGAAATGTATTCCCTAACCTGGGAGCCTTCCATTCACTTTGACTAAACAATATTTTATGACATTATGGAATAATAAGATATTATGATAATATTTTGTTTGTGTAAGAAATAAGAATAGACTGTGAAGTTTGTGTTTGGCACATAAAACCTAGGGGCAAGTCAGCTGTAGTCTGAGCCTATATATTTACATTGAGTAGCTGTGAGTTACCTTAAAACGTGGTATCTTTGATAATGCGGGTAACTTTGATAGTAGAATATAATGATGTAATTTACTTTCTGTTTTTTTTTTCGAATTAGAAACATTGGTTCCATATTGTAGCTTTGGGCACTTCCCTTGATTCCACAAATAGTTTTTATAAAGGGGAAATAAATGTAATGTAGGCCTAAATGCCCCTTATTTGGGCTAATACAGAAATTCAGCAATCGACTAAATTTTCAATAGCGACCGAAAATATCCATAAGTACCATCCCAATGACGCGTTCATCTAGATAAAATTTATAAATAGCAGATTTTTAGCGATGGGCCCAATCTTAGATCCATAGGCCAACATTAGAGCCATTTCCCCTAGTTTGTGTAACATGTTTGCCAAACATATTGAAAAACAATTTTCTTGCTTTTTGCCTGTTTGAAAAAGCACTCAAACCATCACAAATTTATTGTTGTGTTCTTATTGCTTATGATGTTTTCTGATTATATACTTATTCAAAGTTTCATATTTCTTGAACTAAATTGTTTGAGTTTCTCGCATGTTTTTCTACATTCATCGAGCATCATCTAAGTAACTCCAAATCAAAATACTGATGTTCGGTCACAAGACTAAAAAAATAGTGAAAATGCAATAATTTTCGTTAAACATATTACTAACCAATTGACTCTAGGATCTTCAGTACTCGATTTAAAAAAAAATAAATTTGAGAAACAGTAATTGATGTCGAGGGGGATGACTCTATCTACGCACGCTGAGTAGATAGAAACAATGTTGATAACGATTCTGAAGATTTCTTGCAAAAAGATAATGCGCGATGCAAGTAGATGCGAGAAGATTGTTCGAAGATTGATTTGCTAGTGTGATATTTGGTGAGCAGCTAGAATCAAGATTTAGATGTGACACCCCCTCGAATTGATGTAACAAATATTTAGAATATACTTCAAAAACCTAGGGGCATCCCACTCTAAACTTTATATTTCTATCGATATACCTATAGATACCTGGGAATATTTATAAATACTTAAGAAATACTTATGAAATATCTAGTGATGGTTTGTTTGTTCGGTTGCTATAGCCTATAAACAAATTTCATTTGTATGTTTATCCGACGTTTGGATTCAAATCTTATCTGATTTTGTGTACATTTAACATTTATTATATTGTTTTTCGATCCGTATAATTGTGAGACGATAGGAAAAGAAACAGTGTTCAGTGTCCCATAATGAAGAGGGCCACGATGGAACAGCGGATAGAGCAAAACGCATAACAAAAGGGTGGTGGATGAGCTATGATGAAGAGTAGAGAGTGTCAGTGAGTCTGGAGCTGTGGAACAGAGTGGATCTGGTGAAATTTGGATGGGGTTCAGAGACGTGAGGCACGTTGTTAGAGTGCACTTTTGGAAGGTAGTGTGTGAGGAGCCTATAAAGCGGTGATAGTGTGCCTTTCGGAGACCGAGATTGCAACCTCTGGGACAGCTAAAGTCCGTGGTCTCCCAGGATCTGGGATAAGTTCACACTACAGCCGCCTATAGCCACGAGAATCGGCAGCTTAACATAGACAGCGGTCGGTCTCTCTATTGCAGCAGCGTAAGTGTTTCACCTCCCGCCCGCCATTGGATCAATAAAACCATTCAATTAAAGCCTAAATTAACCCTTTTTGTAAAGCTTCTCATAATTCCGAAAACTCTCCCTACCTCGCCAACGCCCGGAGACCCGGGAGCAGAACAGGCCTTTGGTGCCCACCCCAACAACTGCCGACTGGCTTAGACTAGCAGTCAGGGATGAAGACACGTCCCCTTCAGAGACGGCGCAGAAGTCCCGGTGTCAAACAGTTGTGAGTTTCAATATTAATAGAATTAACTACACGCCACTGACCGTATCGTACGTGACTCTTTGATCCAGTCCCAGGAGGAAGCTATACTGATGGCCATTGGAACCTTTCAACTATTGCTCGTTTAAATGTATCCTTCAAAATACAGATCTGGAAATGACTTTCTTGTTATAAGTATAGTTTTCACGGAGGTTTTCTCCGAAGTTTTCACCCACTAGGATCTTGATCCTGTGATAATGACTACGAACATTTAAGCTGATGGGAGCTGGTATCGGAACTTGTGGCATCCGGAGAGCCGAGTCTCATAGCTTCCGTAGCATTATGGGCCGCAGAAATGTACAACATTCCCATGGATTTCCTCCCATACGATGCCCTTCTACTTGAAGCTCATAAAGGTCGCCAAGTTAGACAAGTTCAAATCGAAAAATCGGTTCAGAACAAAATTTAAAACGGTTATTAAAATTGACTATCATAACATTCAATTCACCTGATATTTTTCTTACAGACGCTTACTTTGAACATTCCCATGTGGACATTATGGTCCTAAAGGTTTCGTTTAACGAAAATCTATTAGGGGAAATGACGGCTTCGGCATGACAGACTATTTTCGGCAACCCAAATTGAAACACTATTTTCACTGGATTTTCTTACGAAAACACTTCGCTGAATGCATGCAAACGATTCTTTATGCTTTCAACTTCAATTTGACTATATTTTTACCACTGAGAAAAAGCAATCTAGCAGGGTTTTCTTGAAATGAAACACACGCACTACAAATTGTAGCTGATTTCGAGTTGCCGATAATAGAACAGCAGATTTACATGCAGTTCAAATGGAACGGTTGCCGAAGAAAAACTGGTTGCCGACAATACTCGCTCTCACTAGAGAAGATTGGAGCTTTGTAAAATCGTTTCAAAACAGTTTTTGACAATTCTTTCGACTGAAATTGTTAGAGCAGCTGGCAGCAAAAGATTGTAAACAAACCAATACTGCATATGTGTGCGTTCCTTAGAGAAAAAGGCTATAGAAAGCAGGTCGCTGCTTAGGTTGCCGAGAATACGTAAATTCCCCTATTTCACCCTAAAAAAAACCAATAGTGTTGGAACCATTGAGTTGGAAAGCATGCATTAAGCACTCCTCGCAAAAATTAGAGAAAATGTACTCCCCCTTCCCATTCGTCACTTTGTTCCACTACCTAATGCATTGCTTGTCACATATTTGTATCAACACCCCCCCCCCCCCCCCCCCAGTGCCTGACGTACTTAATGCTTGAACTAGCTTCTAGTGGATAGTGGATAGATTATAAAAAAAAAATGTGGCGATATTGGGGGCATGCTCATTAAATGGGCTAATGAGCTGAACGATAACCTTACAAAAATGCTCCATTTTCCATGTTTCATTTTATCGTTTAAAAAACCTTATAGTTATTTTCAAATTATTGTTATTTATAGATTCGGTGGTTCGGTAAACTATGATTAGTCTGTTAAATGTTTAGTGATCTTGAGAATAAACAGTTTCATTGTGTTCAGCCTTTATTTCATAATATATGCAGTCAACAACAACATACATTCTTCCACAAATATGAAACACTTCCATATGATGAACACGCTAGACTGACTGTACAGTAATTAAATGTTCTTTAATTGTAGGGGATTATAATTGAATGTTTACAGCTCTTTGGTTCCACAATCGTCTTCTAGGATTCTGATGTTAGAGAAAACGGATCAAAAAGACTTGGTGTACTTCATTTTCATATTTTACATCACTGAAAAACATAAATTTTGTTATATCCTTTCGTAGGCTGATTTAAAATACCTACCCCGTACAATGAATTCACACTTCATTTCAAATAAACTAATTTTATACTCTAAAAAATTATCAGATCACGCGACTAAAATTGTCGAACTGATGGAGCAAAAAATAAAAAACACAGCACTAGCAACCGGTCATAAACAAACGTTACTACGCTGAAAATAAAACCTAGAAACAAAATACTTAAAAATATTTAGCGATACTTACGAGATATTTAAAAATATTTAATAAATATTGGAACTAAAGTTTAGAGTGGGATGCCCCTAGTCAAAAACTATCATTGTTACTCCATAACGAAGTAGCCTCAATTTTACTTTTTTCAAACTGTCATATTTACAAACACACTAACGTCAGCTATGAACAGATTTTTTAAATTGCAAGTAAGGTATTTTTCTTTATAAAGGGCGAACACGAAATTATTGCGACACATTCAACAGGGCATAACTTTTTTACCATTGGGTAA